GTGAGTGAGTGAGTGTGAATGTGTGAGAGTGTGAGAGTGAGAGTGTGAGTGTGAGAGTGAATGTGTGAGTGAGTGAGTGAGTGAGTGTGTGAATGTGAATGTGTGAGAGTGTGAGAGTGAGAGTGAGAGTGTGAGTGTGAGAGTGAATGTGTGAGTGAGTGAGAGTGTGAATGTGTGAGTGAGTGTGTGAGTGAGTGTGTGTTTGAGTCAGTGTGAGAGTAACACACACATGAATGCAGATAGTCTGCTACAGTCGAACACACAAGGGAAAATAGACGAGCGCCAATTGAACGAGAGAGAGCAATTGAGACGAGAGCCCGTAACCATGACGACGTGGGACACAAAGCCCTGGTTTGGGTTGAGTTTTAACACACAGATCAGATCGGCTCACACTGACTAACATGTGGCTCATGATGTTTACAGCGGGAGAACCATAAAAACATGTGACTCACGTCTGCTCATGCGGCTCATCCAAATTCATTCCCTTTCTGTTTATTTCTTTCCCATTAATTCCACCGCCAGAACTGAATGTCACTGAAGTTTAAGACGCAAAGTTCACAGAACATGTGTTTTCGGACCGGTATTTATAAAGCTCAGAATATACTCTATGCAAGTATGAGAACACAAACACTCGACTTCATGCGTCATTGCATTTGTAAATGTGGAAAATTGTTGAATGTAATTGAAAATTGTACTGTTTTGCTCAATATTTATGTTTTTTTTATTGTGTCATTAGTTTAGCAACATAGTAATGTCAACATATGTGAGTACATGAAAAGACAATAATTAATTAAATAATAAAAATGTCAAATTGATTTGAATAATTTTGAAATAATAAACAATGAAAATAAAACACTTATTAATAATAAATGAAATCATAAATTAAAATAAAAAATGACATTAAAATACATAATTGTAAAACAAAACATGTACTACTAAATAATTAAATCATAGAAATTTCAAATGAATATAAATAAGTTATTTTAAAATAAAAACAATCAAAATAAAACACTTAGTAATAATTAAATTATAAAAATGTAAAAAATATATATATATATTTTACAATAAAAACAATGAAAGTTAAAAACTTACTAAGAATTAATTAAATTATAAAACTAAATGTAGTAAAACAAATTTAAAAATAATAAAAAATCTAAATAAAACACTTACTAATAATTAATTAAATTGTAAAAATTTACAATTTAAATAAATAAATAATATAAAAATGATAAACAATCAAAATAAAACACTTACTAATAATTCATTAAATCGTAAAAATGTACAATTTAAAGAAATAAATAGTATAAAATGATAAACAATCAAAATAAAACACTTACTAATAATTTATTAAATCATAAAAACTTAAAAAATAAATAAAATAAAAATAATAATACTAATAATAAAATCATTCATTTAAAATAAATAATTGTAAACAAAAACAATCAAAATAAAAAACGTATTAAAAATAATTTATTTGTTTACTTGCAAGTCATGTGACCATTTACTGACATCAGATAATCATGAGCATGCAAATGTCTTAAAAAGTAGATGTTTCAGGGAAAGAGTGCGGCTGATAAATGGTGTGGGGTTCCCTGATCTGTGAGAGTTGCGTCTGGTGTGTGCTGGGTCTGTTTTACAGGATCACTGGGTTTGGAACAGGTTTGGTTTGATGCGACTGCACAAACGAGTTAAAGTGAAATGTCACAGAGATGAATATTCCACAGTAAATGAGCTTTGAACTGAATGGAGTGTGTGGAGAGTGTCGAGTCTGTCGGCTCAACGTGATCTACGAACAATAGCCGCACATGGACTCTCTTCTGTCTTCCGTCTCACACACACACACACACACACACACACTCATGCACATGAACTGGAGCTCAGTTGTTTAACACCATACATGCGATTCTGTTATGTACATATTTGAGTACATGTATAAGTGCACATGACATCAAGGTGTGTTTGTGCAGCTTTGTGAGGTACTGTGTGCAGGCGGCTGTGTGTGTGTGTGTGTGTGTGTGTGTGTGTGTGTGTGTGTGTGTTGGGTAGGTTTAGGGGTCGGGTTAGTGCGTGTGTGTGTGTGTGTGTTGGGTAGGTTTAGGGGTCGGGTTAGTGTGTGTGTGTGTGTGTGTGTGTGTGTGTGATGGGTAGGTTTAGGGGTCGGGTGTGTGTGTGTGTGTGTGTGTGTGATGGGTAGGTTTAGGGGTCGGGTTAATGTGTGCGTGTGTGTGTGTGTTGGGTAGGTTTAGGGGTCGGGTGTGTGTGTGTGTGTGTGTGTGTGTGTGTGTATGAGAGGGGTAGGTTTAGGGGCCGGGTTAGTGTGTGTCTGTGTGTGCTGGGTAGGTTTAGGGGTCGGGTTAGTGTGTGTGTTTGTGATGGGTAGGTTACTAGGTTTAGGGGTCGGGTTAGTGTGTGTATGTGTGTGTTTGTGATGGGTAGGTTTAGTGGACGGGTTAGTGTGTGTGTCTGTGTGTGATGGGAAGGTTACTAGGTTTAGGGGTCGGGTTAGTGTGTGTGTGTGTGTGTGTGTGTGTGTGTGTGTGTGTGTGTGTGTGTGTGTGTGTGTGTGTGTGTGTGTGTGTGTGTGTGTGTGTGTGTGTGTGTGTGTGTGTGTGTGTGTGTGTGTGTGTGTGTGATGGGTAGGTTTAGGGGTCGGGTGTGTGTGTGTGTGTGTGTGTGTGTGTGTGTGTGTGAGAGGGTTAGTGTGTGTGTGATGGGTAGGTTACTAGGTTTAGGGGTCGGGTTTGTTTGTGTATGTGTGTTTGTGTGTGTGATGGGTAGGTTTAAGGGTCGTGTGTGTGTGTGTGTGTGTGTGTGTGTGTGTGTGTGTGTGTGTGTGTGTGTGTGTGTGTGTGTGTGTGTGTGTGTGAGAGGGGTAGGTTTAGGGGCCGGGTTAGTGTGTGTGTGTGTGTGTGTGTGTTTGTGATGGGTAGGTTACTAGGTTTAGGGGTCGGGTTAGTGTGTGTATGTGTATGTGTGTGTGTGTGTGTGTGTGTGTGTGATGGGTAGGTTTAGCGTTCGGGTTAGAGTGTGTGTCTGTGTGTGTTGTATATTTGGTTCTCCTGTGTCCTCATAAACGAAATGGCTTAAAAACATACTAAATGGTGTTTTTTGAAATTCACGTGTGTGTGTGTGTGTGTGTGTGTGTGTGTGTGTGTGTGTGTGTGTGTGTGTGTGTGTGTGTGTGTGTGTGTGTGTGTGTGTGTGTGTGTGTGTGTGTGTGTGTGTGTGTGTGTGTGTGTGTGTGTGTGTGTGTGTGTGTGTGTGTGTGTGTGTGTGTTGATCACGCATGTAACAACACTCTCCTTCAGTCGGCAGATACCAGCACCGCTGATGGTTCTCCTCAGGAACAGAGTCTGAAGAAGAGACAGGCCGCGACGCTCGCCAACATCAGGGAGCTGATCAGTCAGGTGAACACTGACACACTGACACACTCTCACACATGTTCCTGTGTCATATAATATATCATCTACAATCCTAATATGCATTAGCAAGGATGCATTAAATGGATCAAAACTTACAGTAAAGACATTTATAATGTTACAAAAGATTCTATTTCAAATAAATATTGTTCTTTTGAACTCTCTATTCATCAAATAATCCTGGAAAATATCTGTTTTCCACATTGATAATAATGATAAATGTTTCTTGAGCATCAGATCCTCATATTAGAGTGATTTCTGAAGGATCATGTGACACTGAAGACTGGAGTAATGATGCTGAAAATACAGCTTTGATCACAGGAATAAATTACGCTTTACTATATATTCACATGGAAAACAGCTGATTTAAAGGTGAACTAAGTAACTTTTTTACCTTAACCGAACAGCTTTGGAGTCATTGTAATGTTTATATTACTGATTTCGTGTTGAATGGTGGTCGTCGCGCACCCCCCTGGTGCCTGTGAGCCGCAAAACCACCCTTGCAACTTTGGGCCGGCGAGCCACCGCCCTGAGTGTTAGGAAGTATCGTGTGATATCAGGTCTCGCGAGGTAACGAATTGCTTTACGGCAAAAAAACAGATCTGATAAAATGAGCATCAAGTAGAAATAACCCGGCGCCGTATACATGTGGTGTTGGGCGTGCGCAGCTCTTAAAGGGGCCATACCTTATTTCCACTCGTTACAGCGTCCATCCTACTGAACAGGTACCGGTGTACAGGGGGAGGGGATCCGGCCGTGAGTGCGAGCCATCTCTGCTACCCCTTTTCCAACAACGCATTTTGAGAGCCGGTTCGGAGCCGGTGCCTGCGCGCGAACCAGTTCTTTGTGTTTCGACAGGCAAAGAACCGGTTCTCGGCCAGGAAAACTGGTTCCAAAGCAGCACCAACTCTTTGCTGGACTAGAACCGTTCTTTTACCACGTCATGCTTACGTCGGGGGCTGGGGGCGGGTTTAGATAACATATTTTCTGACATAATATAGGATCGCAAAGCCAGGAGAAACATTTGCAGAAACACGATGTAGTCCGCCATTGTAATTGTTATGCTTAAAGTTGGCGCAAGCGTTTCTAGTTTATTTTTTTATTTTTTTATTGAAAAAGTTAATTAAGCAAAGGAGAAAACAGTCACAATATAGAACAAATAAATGGAAAGAAAAAAAAGACACAAGACAGGAGTACATAACTAATCAGAAAAGATTACACATCAAAGGAAAAGATTAAAAGACTTACATATTTCAATTGTTTTTAAAGCCTTCTTGGTTCACGAGTTAGAGATGATCAATGTTGTACTTGCAAGCGTTTCTAGCTAAGATGTATGGCGACGTACACATTGACGTAACGACGTCGTTCGCTGGGCGCTCTAGTCAGTGGAAAAACAAACAGGTTCTGAGAAGGTTCGCAAGTTGAACCAACTCCGAACCAACTTTGAACCAGCACCAGTTCCGAACCAGTTCGTTTTTGGTGGAAAAGGGGTATGTGTGAGTGCTATTCACGACAGTACAAGTACTCCACAGCGACTCTAGGGGTCGCTGTTTGACAAAAACGGAATTCTTACTGAGTGCTGCTTTAAATTCGAATAATATTGCACAATTTTAGTGTTTTTTTATTCAAATAAATGTATCCTTGGTGAGCAGAAGAGACTTCAAATGATCTTACCGACCCCAAACTTTTGAACGGTATCATAACCATCAAAATAAACAGCTTTTCTTCTGACATAAAATCACATCATTTCTCTCTGAATATTCGGTTTCACTCTGAAAGATGAATGCATTGGGAATGCCGTTTCACTATGTCAGATTTGGCCTAGAGTTCAGGAAATAATTAAATAATGATGACTGTAATAATTGGAAGAGAAGCCCGTGACTAATTCAGCAACTGAATCATAAGCTTAATTTGACTAACATCTGAGAGCAGAATTATGACTTTATCAGTGAATCTTCCTGTTAATTTCCCAGATGTGCCGTCTAATAACACCTGGATTGTGAGTTAAGATTTTATGCGGATATATTTGTGTTTCTCGTGCTTCAGTCATCAGCCAGACTCTTGCTGACGTGAGCATCTCTGTGACGGGAACAGACGGAGAAGGTTTAAATAAAGCGCTCGAATCTCTCAGGACTTGTAGATCTCTGGTTGGTCGTGTCACTTCAGATAAACCATCTGTGGTTTTAAACTTTGTGTGATAATCTCTGAAAGTAAAAGGGCTCCTATTATGCCTTATTCCATGTTCATCTTTCTTAAGTGTGTAATATTGAACATGAAAAAACAGGAGTTCTTCTCTACAGGGATTGTCCCGATCAGGTTTTTTTGCCCTCGAGTCCGAGTCCGAGTGATTTGATTTTGAGTATCTACCGATACCGAGTCCTGATCCGATACTAATACATAAAAAAAGAATAAAGAAGAGAGAAAAAACAGATCCAGGATGTTCCTTATTTTTTATTTAATTCACCTTATTTTAACATTCAACAACTCTGTTAACAAACAGAGCCCTTCTGTGAGGTAGCTTGAACAATCAAGTAATAAATAACATAAAATCTTCACTTTTGGACTTTAGTGCAACAGTAAATATAGAAAAAGTCTAATATAAAAACAAATAGCACCTCAACTTAAAATACCCGGCAGGCATGTAAACATTACATGTAGGCCTATACATTAGGGGTGTAGCAGTTCACAAAATTTGCGGTTCGGTTCGATACGATACAGCAAAAAGAAAGAAATGCCAGAGAAATGTCCTATTTATTAAAAGAAAAACTATTTTTAAATAAGTTTGAGTTTTCCTACATCTTGAAACTTTCAGGTTTATAAATGGGGGTAATCTTTGAAGGATAAACAAATAATGTTTTGGTAATCACATTAAAAATAACATTTAAATATATATTTATATAATATTTGAGTTTTGAAGTGCAACATTAGATCCATGTTCACAATGTTTCTCCTGGTTCCCACGTCAGCGCTGTTTGATCTAATAGAGATCTACGGTTAATAACGGAGAAATGTGAATGCTTCTCACTAGATCTCGCAGCGATGTTATTACTTCAGTGGCGAATTCAAATGTTTTCTTCACTGGATCTCTTGATCGCTTGATCTCGCGCTGCACAGATGTTGCTGGTCCGAACTGATAAATGGTCCGTTAAGCACAATATAATGAGTAGCGAAGATTCGTTCCGCTTTCATTACGTTTGCCATTTGATGTTGCGCAACGTTGTGGTGATCGCGCCAGCGCGGATTTTGTCTGCAGGAAAAATGGTCCTAGGAATCGTTTGTATGCGTACCGAACCGGAAGCCTCGTACCGAAACGGTTCAATAATTACGAATACATGTACCGTTACACCCCTAATTTACATATATCCGAGTCCTGATCGGGAGGTAACGTCCGATTCCGATCGAGTCTGAAACCACGTGATCGGGCCCGATTTCGATCGCGTGATCGGATCGGGACATCCCTACTTCTCTATATCAGTGTCAGTGTTTCTGAACTCCTGAAACGCCTCCATTGTAGTCTTGAGTTTCTTCCGGGAACGAACACGTCACAATATTGCTCATTATAATAATTCATACGCAGAATAAAGGGGCGGGGCCTGGTTGAGTTAGTTAGTAGTGTGTTAAACTGGTGGTTATGATAAGGGGCGGGACATTTCCAAACACACTCGAAGCGCTCGACCAATCACAACACACTGATCCAGCCGACCAATCAGAGCACAGTGTGCTTTTCAGAAGGAGGGGCTTCATAGAGACAGGAACTAATCAGGGGTGCGTTTCCCGAAAGCATGCTGTTGTTGTAAGCTTTGTCTCTGGATGTTCACTGGTGTCTCTTCTTCACTTCTGTGTTCAGCTCAATAAAGACGCTGTGGCCGAACACGCTAAGAAGATGTGGTCTCTGCCCGGCGACCTGTCCGAGGCCGTGAACTCCTGCGTGAAGCCTCATTTCCCGGAGCACGTGGACAAGGCCGGCGAGAACCGCCCCGAACAAGCGGGACAGTACAGTCCGGTCTTCGTCGGATGAACTCCATGTGTCTGTATGAGGGTCAGAACCACAGTTTAAACACACTCTAATGAAATATTTAACATTTGACACTTGTTTATGTATGTAATACACTTCATCACTCAACCCTTTAGAAAAATCAAGGGAAAGTTAGTGAAGGGACGTCTCATGAAGACGATCAAGATTACATCATTTACTCCAAAATAAAAAGGAAAAAGTTATAAATTACACATTGCGTTTAGAAAATTAAGCCTTTAGTACCATTAGGATTTTTAGCATTGTGTACATATTACAGATTTTGTTAATTAATTAAATTAATTTATTAATCGCACATTTTTCTGTAATTAATTAATTTATCACACCTAACAGTTAAGTTTTTAATATATTTTATATTGTAATCATTTCACATTTGAACTCTAAACTACATATAGACCGTTTATTTAAAAAATACTTGTCAGTATCACCAAAACTGCTACTGATGTCTCTATGAAATGGATTTTTTTCTAAATTTTAGCCACTCATTTATAATTGAAACTACATTTTAATATTTATTAGGCTTTAAAAAATTAAAGAACTTTTAATTTAAGTGAACTTAGAAACAATCTTCACATAAACCCATTGTAATAAATGTCATATTTACCTGTACTTTCAATATATCAGGGCTCAATTCTTTTCTATTGGCCCAGTTCAGATTTTTACTTGCCCTGTTAAAATGCACAAAAAGTTATTGTTTTAGTTGTTTTCGACCCATGTAACCTTATAAACAGTGCTTTAAGATTTTTAGGTAGATCTAACAGTATGGATATATACAGAAATTGAATAAAGTTATCAAACACTTCACAGACGTCTCTGCATAAATTATAAATTGAATATAGAATAATCATTATTAAAGCTACAAAAGTTTTTCAGTCAAGAGCAGGGAGTGATTTTCTCTTTGTCTTTTGTTCTTTGATTAACGTTAATGACAGATTTATTAGGTTGCTGTCACTTTAAGAGCTGCCGCACATGACGCGGATCTGATAGACTTTCTCACAACACTTTACGTACAGGCATTTTGGCATAATTGTGTGTGTTTTTGTTCGTTCAAGTGTTCTCTGAAGCGGCTTTGTGTGTGTGTGTGTCTCTGTGTGTGTGTGTGTGTGTGTGTGTGTGTGTGTGTGTGTGTGTGTGTGTGTGTGTGTGTGTGTGTGTGTGTGTGTGTGTGTGTGTGTGTGTGTGTGTGTGTGTGTGTGTGTGTGTGTGTGTGTGTCTGTGTGTGTGTGTGTCACAGACATGAGATTCACAGATCATTACTGCACTGCGTTCTCTTTTGTGTCTTATCGCACTTTAATGGTTTAAAAGCATTTGCATGAATAAGAGTGTGATCATAATGTAACGCTAACCAAAGGATGATGGGAAAAAACGAATGCTGTGTTAATTGCGTTAAATATTTTTAATCCAATAAACTGAAAAATTAATAGCATGCGTTAACGTGTTAATCTTGACAGCACATATATATTGCTTTTTATCATGGGGTGAAATATACACTCACCGGCCACTTTATTAGGTACACCTGTCCAACTGCTCGTTAACACTTAATTTCTAAGCAGCCAATCACATGGCGGCAACTCAGTGCATGTAGACATGGTCAAGACAATCTCCTGCAGTTCAAACCGAGCATCAGTATGGGGAAGAAAGTTGATTTGAGTGACTTTGAACGTGGCATGATTGTTGGTGCCAGAAGGGCTGGTCTGAGTATTTCAGAAACTGCTAATCTACTGGGATTTTCACGCACAACCATCTCTAGGGTTTACAGAGAATGGTCCGAAAAAGAAAAAACATCCAGTGAGCGGCAGTTCTGTGGGCGGAAATGCCTTGTTGATGCCAGAGGTCAGAGGAGAATGGCCAGACTGGTTCGAGCTGATAGAAGGGCAACAGTGACTGAAATAACCACTCGTTACAACCGAGGTATGCAGCAAAGCATTTGTAAAGCCACAACACGCACAACCTTGAGGCGGATGGGCTACAACAGCAGAAGACTCCACCGGGTACCACTCATCTCCACTACAAATAGGAAAAAGAGGCTACAATTTGCAAGAGCTCACCAAAATTGAACAGTTGAAGACTGGAAAAATGTTGCCTGGTCTGATGAGTCTCGATTTCTGTTTAGACATTCAGATGTTAGAGTCAGAATTTGGCGTAAACAGAATGAGAACATGGAACCATCATGCCTTGTTACCACTGTGCAGGCTGGTGGTGGTGGTGTAATGGTGTGGGGGATGTTTTCCTGGCACACTTTAGGCCCCTTAGTGCCAATTGGGCATCGTTTAAATGCCACGGCCTACCTGAGCATTGTTTCTGACCATGTCCATCCCTTTATGGCCACCATGTACCCATCCTCTGATGGCTACTTCCACCATGTCACAAAGCTCTAATCATTTCAAATTGGTTTCTTGAACATGACAATGAGTTCACTGTACTAAAATGGCCTCCACAGTCACCAGATCTCAACCCAAAAGAGCATCTTTGGGATGTGGTGGAACGGGAGATTCGCATCATGGATGTGCAGCCGACAAATCTGCGGCAACTGTGTGATGCCATCATGTCAATATGGACCAAACTCCCTGAGGAATGCTTCCAGCACCTTGTTGAATCTATGCCACGAAGAATTGAGGCAGTTCTGAAGGCAAAAGGGGGTCCAACCCGTTACTAGCATGGGGTACCTAATAAAGTGGCCGGTGAGTGTATATATATATATATATATATATATATATATATATATTTATTTATTTTTTTTTTTTTTTTTTTAATTAAGCGCGTTTTAGAATTTTTTTTTTTACATTGTAATATTTCTCTTTTTTCATAAAACGTAATGCAAATATATATTCTAATGATGCACACACACCAAAATACTTTTCGGAGAGATGCACTTTGTGTTTTAGGAGTTTTGTGGAGGTGATAGACATAAACATAAACTCATTGGCATCACAGAAAACACAATGGCCAGATCTGCTTTTAGTGGCAAGACACGTAAACAAGTAAAATGATATTGAAGAAGAGAATGTGGTCGTTTGATTGAGCTGGAGGGAGGGAATGAACTGAATGCTTGTGTCTGAAGCGTCCGTCGGCGTGTTCTCGCTCAGAGAACGATGGATGTTGTGAAGAGAGGATGGAGAATGACAGTGAGTCAGAGATCGGCCCACACACAATTATTCAGAGGGTTTGGTGAAGCCGGTCTCCTAGAAAACAGTTACAGTTCACAGTCGGCCGATCCATATCACTGAATAAACCCTGAGGGCGATGATCAGCACGACTCGCTTTTTACACACACACTCGCACAATAAACTAATATGAAAGTCTGATGTGAGTGCCAATGGATTTATTATAAAGAGTGTGGAGTGATGCTTTCTGGCTCTTCAGTTTTTCTGTTGAGATTTCAGTGATGGTCTTGAAATAGCTGATGATGGGAGCATATATTAAAGGGATAGTTCACCCCAAAATGAAAACTCTGTCAGTAATCACTCTCCCTCATGTTGTTCAAACCTGTAAGACTTTCGTTTCGTCACGGTTTTTAGTTTTGAAGAGTGAATCCGGTCTCGGTTTAGAAGAGTGTATCCGGTCTCGGTTTAGAAGAGTGTATCCGGTCTCGGTTTAGTTTTGAAGAGTGTATCCGGTCTCGGTGTTTAGTTTTGAAGAGTGAATCCGGTCTCGGTTTAGTTTTGAGGAGTGTATCCGGTCTCGGTTTAGTTTTTAAGAGTGTATCCGGTCTCGGTTTAGAAGAGTGTATCCGGTCTCGGTTTAGAAGAGTGTATCCGGTCTCGGTTTAGTTTTGAAGAGTGTATCCGGTCTCAGTGTTTAGTTTTGAAGAGTGAATCCGGTCTCGGTTTAGTTTTGAGGAGTGTATCCGGTCTCGGTTTAGCTTTAGTTTTGAAGAGTGTATCCGGTCTCGGTGTTTAGTTTTGAAGAGTGTATCCGGTCTCGGTTTAGTTTTGAGGAGTGTATCCGGTCTCGGTTTAATTTTGACGAGTGTATCCGGTCTCAGTTTAGTTTTGAAGAGTGTATCCGGGCTCGGTTTAATTTTGACGAGTGTATCCGGTCTCGGTTTAGTTTTGACGAGTGTATCCGGTCTCGGTTTAGTTTTGAAGAGTGTATCCGGTCTCGGTTTAGTTTTGAGGAGTGTATCCGGTCTCGGTTTAATTTTGACGAGTGTATCCGGTCTCAGTTTAGTTTTGAAGAGTGTATCCGGGCTCGGTTTAATTTTGACGAGTGTATCCGGTCTCGGTTTAGTTTTGACGAGTGTATCCGGTCTCGGTTTAGTTTTGAAGAGTGTATCCGGTCTCGGTTTAGTTTTGAAGAGTGTATCCGGTCTCGGTTTTGTTTTGAAGAGTGTATCCGGTCTCGGTTTAGTTTTGAAGAGTGTATCCGGTCTCGGTTTAATTTTGACGAGTGTATCCGGTCTCAGTTTAGTTTTGAAGAGTGTATCCGGTCTCGGTTTTTAGTTTTGAGGAGTGTATCCGGTCTCGGTTTTTAGTTTTGAGGAGTGTATCCGGTCTCGGTTTTTAGTTTTGAGGAGTGTATCCGGTCTCGGTTTAGTTTTGACGAGTGTATCTGGTCTCGGTGTTTAGTTTTGACGAGTGTATCCGGTCTCGGTGTTTAGTTTTGAAGAGTGTATCCGGTCTCGGTTTAGTTTTGAAGAGTGTATCCGGTCTCGGTTTAATTTTGAAGAGTGTATCCGGTCTCGGTTTAGTTTTGAAGAGTGTATCCGGTCTCGGTGTTGTTTAGTTTTGAAGAGTGTATCCGGTCTCGGTGTTGTTTAGTTTTGAAGAGTGTATCCAGTCTCTGTGTTTAGTTTTGACGAGTGTATCCGGTCTCGGTTTTGTTTTGAAGAGTGTATCCGGTCTCGGTTTTGTTTTGAAGAGTGTATCCGGTCTCGGTTTAGTTTTGAAGAGTGTATCCGGTCTCGGTTTAGTTTTGAAGAGTGTATCCGGTCTCGGTTTGATTTTGACGAGTGTATCCGGTCTCGGTTTAGTTTTGACGAGTGTATCCGGTCTCGGTTTAGTTTTGAAGAGTGTATCCGGTCCCGGTTTAGTTTTGAAGAGTGTATC